CGGTTCTCCCGCTCCTCCACGCCTTGGCTGGATTCCTCCTGGCCGAGCTTGGCTGGCTCAGCGCCAATCTCCCCAGCTCTCCCCTGGGTGTCCTTGCAGCTACCTCGCCAAACCGCCCCTCTTGTGCGCCCTCCTCCTGTGACCTGAGCTTTAAGAGAGGAGCTGGGTACACCCCATTACCCTCCACGCGACTCCGAAACCGGGTCCCACGAGCTCAGGGGACCCTCTGCAGCGAGGATCTCAGACACAAAACCAGGCTGGTGAGAGACCCTCGCGGAGACTGGGGGGTCGTACCACCTACAAGGGGGTGCACGGAAGTCGGCGGAGAGCAAGCGACCGGCAAGGAGAGTTGTGAGGGATAGCGTGTGTGGTCCCCGTCCAGGCACCACAGTCAGGAAGTCCCTCTGGCCCCGCTCCCGCCCGCTCCCAGCTCCCCTAGGGCTGCCCCCTCGCGCCCTCCTCCCCTGCCGCGGGCCCGAGGCAGTGGTACGGTCCGCAGCCCACCCTTTGAGTGGGACCCGGCCCCCACGTGACTCAGCCTGCCTCCCCGCCTCCCGCCCCTCCCCCCATTTCCTTGGTTTGGTACCGAATGTCCCCCACCCCAGGTGGGTTACCTGGCTGAAGGGGAAAGGCTGAGCCTCAGGGAGGCCTGGGCCCCCGAGCCAGCGGACTGACAGATACAGACAGATGGGTCAGTGTCAGACTGGCCGGCGCTGGGCCAAGGCGAGGCCCGCGCCAAGCGAGCGACAGCAGCAGCAGCAGGTGCTGAGTCAGCGTCAGGCCCTGTCCCACCCCCACTCTTGAGGAGGCCCCCCTACCCTGTGGTCACCTTGCTGCCCCCCACATTCGCAAACACACGGCCCTTTCAGCTGCCCTGCCTGTCTCCCTCTGCTTTTTGATGTACGTCTCCTTTCCTCTTCCCTCCCTCTCCCCCGCCCCCCCTCCGGTTTCTGGTTGAGCTGAAGAGTAGGAATTAAGTCATTTAAATAAATTTCAATAAATTAAACCGAAAGCTGGTGGTTAGAGGAAGCAGAAGAGACCCACACTCAGCATCCTCAGGAATCAAAGAGGGGTGGGAGAGAGATTTCTTGGAGGGTCAGAAAGTTGGGTCTTAGTATCCTATTCCTTCCCTCCACTCTCCTTTCTTTTTCCCTCTGATCCCATCAAGTGTAGGAATGTTTCTGGGAACAGAGATGTCATTTTCAAAGATTAATGTCTCTTTTTCTAGAGCCTCAACTCAAAGGCATCGTCACCAAACTGTTCTGCCGCCAGGGTTTCTACCTCCAGGCAAATCCCGACGGGAGCATCCAGGGCACCCCAGAGGACACCAGCTCTTTCAGTGAGAGGGGAAGCCTGTCCCTGGGTGGGAAGGGGGGATAGCGGGCCTAGGAGACTAGGACAGCCCTATTCCTGCTTCAGGTTTTGTTTTCAGTCTGCCTCTTTGACTCCCAAGGGAGGAAGTGAAGCTGGGATGGGGGGGAGTTCTGATGGGGGCTCAAGGCCTGAGGTACTGATGTCCCCTCTCTCCATCCCCAGCCCACTTTAATCTGATCCCTGTGGGGCTCCGTGTGGTCACCATCCAGAGTGCCAAGCTGGGTCACTACATGGCCATGAATGCTGAGGGGCTCCTCTACAGCTCGGTGAGACAATGAGGCTGAGTGACTTGGGGTTTGGAGATTCCCCAGCTACAACTTTTTCAACTACAGATATTTTACAGTTCAGGACGCCCTCTCACTCCAGCTCTTGCTGATGTCCTGTCATTACCATCCACTCCAGAGTGCCTCTCTAGGGTCCCTCTAACCCATCTCTCACAATAGCCCTCCACATACCCCAGGCTTTTAGTGTCCAACTCTTTCAGCCATTTAGGGCTCCTGTTTCCTATCCTACCTCCTCCAGACTTCATTATTACTCACTTCCCCAGAGTCATCAGGATAGGGAGTGGTGAGAGGTTGGGAATGTAGTGGAGAAAAAGGTATCTTTTCATTCCAGAGCCCCCCAACGTCTAGTTCCTAACCCTCAGGGGCCTACCAGACTCTTCCGTGTCCTCCCTCTCTCCCAGTTACCACATGGACTCAGAAGTTGGCCCTCCCAGCCTGAAATGTATGGATTATATTCTGACTTGTTCTTCCCAGGGCTCCCTTCTGTCCAGTGATGTTTCTATTTGTCTCTTTGTCTATGTGTGCCTTCCTGGGCCTTTGTCTCCTCAGCAACATTTCACAGCTGAGTGTCGCTTTAAGGAGTGCGTCTTTGAGAATTACTATGTCCTGTACGCCTCTGCTCTCTATCGTCAGCGCCGTTCTGGCCGGGCCTGGTACCTAGGCTTGGACAAAGAGGGCCGAGTCATGAAGGGAAATCGAGTCAAGAAAACCAAGGCAGCTGCCCACTTTGTGCCCAAACTCCTGGAGGGTGAGTATGGACTGAAGAAAATGGGGGCCACACGGGAGGGTACTGACTTTGACATGGATATTTAGTGACACACATCTCAGGGGCTACAAGTGTGAAGAGGACACCTGTTATGACAGGTCAAGGCAGGAAGACTTTGGCCTTTGGGGATTTGAGGAGTTCTCCTCCTAAGGGTTGGGGTTCCCAGAGGATGAGTGTAGGGAAAGGGAGCCCTCTCAGAGCTCTGATTCTGTCTAGGTCTCTCTGTGCTTAACTCTCCTTCCTGCTCCTCTCTCTCCCTTTCACAGTGGCCATGTACCGGGAGCCTTCTCTCCACAGTGTCCCTGACACCTCCCCTTCCAGTCCCCCTGCCCCCTGAAATGTAGACCTTGGACTGGAGGCTCCTGCACTTGCACTGGTCTAGCCACCACCACAGCCTGTCTCCCAGTCCTGCTCCTGGACCTGCTCTCATCCCAGCTGCTGTTCTCATGTCCTGAGCAGCCAGGTCCCACCAGGTGCTCTACCTGGAGGGAGCCTAGGAACTGCTGAAACCCTTAGATGCTTGGACCTGGGAGGAGGTCATACAGGTGGATGTTTGAAAATGGTCCTGGCTGATCACTTCTTTCCTTCCACACTTACACCCCCCACCCCCCAAAGCCTTTTCCTGAGATGGTGCTGGGGGTTTCCAAACTGAGAGAACAGGACACAAATATTCCCCACCCCAGGCTCAGCCAGTTCCTGGAGCCCTTTTCATTGCCTCTGAGCCATAGATTTATAGGTCTACTGGAGCTCAGGATTAGTTTCCTTTCCCTACTCCACCTTCTGCCTTGTTCTGGACAGGTTCTAGAACACCAGGCACCCCAGCCAGGGCCATTTCTCTTCTAACGCTCTGTGCTGGAATGCAGGCATGCTGTCAGGCTCTGTTCTGGATCCATCAGGCTTTCTTGACCCAGATAACCCTTGGTTTCCAAGTAGAGAAAGGCTGGATTTGAGTCCTGTCCAGCTCTTGGCCTTGGCCTGAACTGGGTCCAGTCTCAGATCACCACAGGTTTAACTCTTTTAACCCAGAGCATGGTGTTCTAGACACAAATGGAGCCATATTTCCTTCTGAATCTCAAAGAATATAGACCACGACTCTCCACCCTTCCCTCCAGGATGGAACTGGGGCCTATATAGCCATATTATTGCTCTAGAGTAAGTTCTAGACCCATCCTCCCTCCCACCTTCTCTAGTGATACCTATTAAGGATGAGTTCTGGAAAGGACCCAGCTATGATTCATAAAGAACTAAGTCCTGGGAGAATTAAGAACTACTTCTTGTTTTACCTAGATAATTTTCTAAAAACCTTATTCTTCCTATAGAATACTAACCTTATTTTTCCATGCAGTTGTTAGCTCTTACAACTCAGCTGGGGCCCAGGAAAATAAAGTCTGAAGGGAAGAGGAGTTTTAGAAGGAATCCTTGGCTCACTGTGGGGAAGCCAGGATGGGGAAGCAGCCAAAACTATGACATAATTGGACCTGTGCCTGGGTTGGGGGTACATGAACACTTAGCTACCTCGGCAAGAATTCCTTCCAGATCCCCTTTAAAGCTGAGGTCTTTAGGGTAATGGATCTAGGATAAAAAGGACAAATATGGCATAGACCTTACAGTGTACAGATGATGTGTTGTAGAATTATGCACCTGAAACCTGTGTAATTTTGTTAACTAGTGTCACCCCAATAATAAAAATTTTAAAAATAATAAAAAACATGACATAGGCTTGACCCCCCTCCCCCTAGTGAGGATACCCCAATTCAGCAGTAAGTCCCACCACTCTCCCCTAGGTCAGGCCAAGGAGAGTGAGGGCCTCTTGGGTTCCAGACCTCATGTACCCCCAGAGCTTCTCATTGAATAGAACTTGTTTTACTTTACAGCTTATAACTTCAGCTGTGTTTTAGGTACCCAAAAAGGGCCTGACTAGATTCTTCTGAAAAACGCGGAGAGCTAGGGACAGGCCTGGAAAAGATCAGGAACCCAACTAGTGAACTAGGAGGTAAACTGAGCAGCCTCAGACCTGGGCATGGAAGACTGAGGAGGCCCTAAAGGAAGGGCTAGGGCTCGGAGACAGTTCACTTTCCCTCAGGCACTTTCTACTTCTAGCTTGTTGCAAGAGGGGTTGATGCTTCCCTCACCCACAGAGACCCCGCCCAGGCCCCACTCATCTCCTGGCTCTGCTCCCAGGGGACCCGGTTCCACTCCATGCATTCCCAATTAAAGAAGATTTATACAACCTATGTGTTGTCTGTTATCTGTGGGTGGCGGGCATTGGCAGTTGTTCGGGGCGGGACCAAGTCCCAGGGGCGGGACGGGGCGGGTGGGCCGGCGGCTGCCCCCCAACAACAGGTGCACATTCTTGGGCGCCTCGTCACTTCCCCTGCGCTGGCCGTCCTGGCGGCTCACCGAGCGAACTCACTGAAAGCGGCCGGGCTATGACCCCAGGAGCGCTGCTGCTGCTGTTGTTGGGGGCGCTGGGGGCGTCGCTCGCCCCGGGTAAGTCTGGGCCTCAAAGGGCCAGTGACAGGGCCAGAGGTCGTGGCCGAGCACCATGGCTTCACTTAGTGCCTCTCCTCCAGGCGCCCGCGGCTCGGAGGCAGAAGGCCGGCTTCGCGAGAAACTTTTCTCGGGCTATGATAGCTCGGTGCGGCCGGCGAAGGAGGTCGGAGACCGCGTCAGGGTCAGCGTTGGTCTCCGACTGGCGCAACTCATCAGCCTGGTGAGGGCGCACGCGGGCGGGGGCGTGGCTTTAGGTACAGCCGGACCCGGGGACGGCTGGGGCGGGACCAGGCTGAGAGCTGCACCACCGGCAGGTTCGGCCAGGGGCAGAACCGGGAACGGTGATGAACCTGCCTGGGGACGAACCTTGAAGTGGAACTGGGCCTGATGGACTGACTTGAGGCGGGGTCACGGGCTGGAGCGGAGCTTGGGGCGGGACAGCGTCAGTCAACAACGGCGCTGGGTGAATTTCTAGCAGTGGGTGGGGCCCGCCCGGGGCGGGACTCGTAGAGGCATTGACTGACATTACCGACTGCGGGGAGCTCCGAGGTAGAGGCGGGGCTTGGAACCAGGAGGGTGGGACTCAGAAAAAGGGTGGAGTTTCCAGGGAGAGCTTGACCCGTCGAATCCCCCATTTCTCTCCACTTACATAACCTCTACCTTTTAAACTTTTCCCTTCTAGAACGAGAAGGATGAGGAGATGAGCACAAAGGTGTACTTAGACCTGGTACGGAGGCCCCACGGGGTGGGAAAGGGTGTCCCGCTGCCGTTACAAATTTCCTCTAATGTTCGGCCCAGTCAAAACCACTTTTTGCATCACAAACTCAAAACACATTTATAACTGAAACAGGAGCTTCAGGAAACAATACCCATCTTTACTACGGGAGTTGTACTTCATTTATTTTTCATTCTAATTTTTTTAAAACACTGGTTTGGAGCCCCTAATTTGATTCCTGACCCAGGAAAGGGTCCCGAATTGCAGTTTGAAAGCCACTGTTTTAGACGATAGCTAATGCAACATTTTCGTTGTTACAGACTAAAAAATTGGGGCCCGTTGCGAGGAAAGGGTAGATTAGCTGATGGAGTCCGAGCAAGTGCAGGTGGAGCGGGAATCAGAACCCCCGGCCTCCAGAATCCCAGCCCGGTCCGTGTTGCTCCCCACCCCTGCACGCACTGCCCGCTTCCTTCGGGCATCCCAGTTGCCTCCCGGCCTCCAGCCCCTAACAGCCGCCCTCAGCCTCTGCTTCCCTAGGAGTGGACTGACTACAGGCTGAGCTGGGACCCCGCAGAGCACGAGGACATCGATTTACTCCGCATCACGGCTAAATCCGTGTGGCTTCCAGATGTGGTGTTGCTAAACAAGTAGGATCTTCCCAGGACTGGGGGTGGGCGAGGCCTCTGGAAGGGCGGGGCATTCGGAGGGCGGGGCCTGATCCCAGGTGAGAAGATACCTTCCCTGCAGCAACGACGGAAATTTTGATGTCGCTCTGGACATTGACGTCGTCGTAGCCTCCGACGGCTCCGTACGCTGGCAGCCCCCTGGCATCTATCGCAGTAGCTGCAGCATCCAGGTCTCTGGGCTCCACCTGGGACACTCAAGGCGCTCTTAGAAATCCTCCCCCTCCTCAGATACCCGACTCCCGTCCCTTCTCCATTAATCCCCCTGATCCTCACATTTCTCTTGCCCTCCTGATTTTCCATTGTTTCATCTTCTCTGCTCACTTTCATTGACTTCCTTTTTTCCTCAGTAACTCCCCTCCATTGGTCCTGGCCTCCCCTAATAACCTTCCAGTTCGTTGGTGACCCCCACTTCCCTGTGACCTCTCCTGGTGGCCCCCATTTCCCTGGTGCTCCATATCCTATGATCCCTATCTGCCCTGTGACCTCCCTAACTCCCCCAGCCCCGATCAGTTCTCTGCCAGCTCTAATGACTCCTCCTTCCATTCAGGTCACCTACTTTCCCTTTGACTGGCAGAACTGCACCATGGTGTTCAGTTCCTACAGCTATGACAGCTCAGAGGTCAGCCTGGACACTGGCTTGGATCCAGATGGACAGGAACAGCAGGAAGTCCATATTCATGAAGGGACCTTCATTGGTGAGTGGGCCTGGCTCCCACATCTATGGGTTTTATGGCTTCCAGTTTCTAACAGGCTGATAAGTAACAGCAATGCCAATACAACCCTGTGGTGTCAGCAAGATACGTATGACTATCTGCATTTTGCAAATATGGAAATTAAGACTTATTTAAGTTTATTAGTGATGGGCTGTCCAGCCTAGTGTCCACAGCTAGCCCCTTATCACATCAGCCTCCTCTGCTCTAGAATGGGGCAGAGCAAGCCATATCCGGCACCAACAAGGACCAGGTCCCACATCTGTGTCTCCTTCTCCTGTTCTTCCCCTCCACCAAGAAAATGGCCAATGGGAAATTATCCACAAGCCTTCTCGGCTAATCCGGCCTCCGGTGGAGCCTAGGGGAGTGGGGGAAGGACAGCATGAAGAAGTCACCTTCTACCTCATCATTCGCCGGAAGCCTCTCTTCTACCTGGTCAACGTCATTGCCCCCTGCATCCTCATCACTCTCCTGGCCATTTTCGTCTTCTACCTGCCGCCAGACGCAGGTAAGGGGTAAAGGGGGCCCAGCCCTCCTTTTTACTAAGAGCTCAGCTTCCACCTCTCCACCCTTAATCCAGGCAAGGTTTTCCTGCCAAGTCAAGCCATCATGGATTGTACTTCAGCAATCTCACTCAGGTTTTCTCTTCAACCAGAGCCTTTTCATCTGGATCCAGATTTTACCTCCAGCCTCAGGCTCTGCCTGTCTTCTGCTGCCCATTTCTTTCCACCCAGTAATTTCTGAACTCTTCAGAATCCTAGTATCTCATCCTTGCAACCTCCACTCCTCTGACCAACAAGATCCCAGGTTTAGACAACTCTCCTTTTCCCTGTCCTCATTCCTTGCATCCTCTTTGCCTCACTTTTTAGACACCTACTTGTCTCTTAAAGTCCCATTTTCCTTGGAAATAATAGCCAACATTTCTCTAGGAGGCAGCACAATGTAGTTGGAGTAATCTTGTGCAAATTCCTTAATCTCTATGTGTCTCATTTGTAATCTAGAAATGAGGACGATTATTGCTCGTACAGAATAGGATTATTTTGAGGATCAACTGAGTTAATTGAACTATGCCTGGGACCCAGTAAATTCTATGTAGGTGGTGGTATTGTCTTTGCTATTTTTGAGCAGTGGCTGTGCAGTAATACAATTAACACATTACAAATATTAACTCGATTCTAACCTTTACAACAACTCTGTGAGGTAAGTACTTCTTCGTCTTCCTATTTTACAGAGCAGGATAAAGAGGCTGAGCGAGTTTAAGTCATTTGTCTGACATTACACAGTTAGGAGAGGCAGTGTTGCTATTTCAACCTTGGTTAGTGCCAATCTGATTCAGACTGATATCCTTAACTCCTGGTATTCAAAATATGCTTTCCTTCTCTTTGAAATCAAGCCCTCTTTCTACCTAGGGAAGGAGTGTAATGCAGCTCGAGAACATACTTCCAAATGTGACTTTTACTTCCTTCTGGAGCAAGGCAAATCTTGGAACCAAATATTATAGGACTAAAGTAGAGCAGACCATAAAAGTTATTTATTTCAATACCTTCCATGAAGTTTGCAGTGCCTGTTGTATGCCACAGGAATAACCAACCACCTGGCATATATATTCTTATATACTTTGTTAACTTTTAATGATAGGATCTGATTTACATTTTAACAAGATAAATCTGGCTGTTCTGTTAAGAGGGAGGGGGAGGGGCAAAGGATGAAGCAAAGAGGCCTTTATAATAACTCAGACCTGAGGCAAGGGTGGTTTATAGCAGAGTGGTAAGGGTAGATGTGATAAGTCATCAGTTTCAGGATATATTTTGAAGGTAGAGCCGTTAGGTTTTCTATGAATCAGATATGGGATGAGAGAAAGAGGAGAGCTGAAAATGACTCAAAGGGTTTTGGCCTGTGCCACAGGAAAGATGAAATTATTTATGAAATGGGGAAGACTATGGAAGGGGTTGGTGATGAGGGAATTTGTTTTTAGACATGTTAAGTTTCAGATGTCTATTGGACATCCAAGTGGAGAGATTAAGTTGGCAGGTGAATGTAAGTCTGGAGTTTAAGGGAATAAGTCCAGCCTGGAGGTATAAATATAGGAATCATTTGCATGCAGTTGGCCCTTCTAAAAGTCTGTCCTTCCAAAAGTGGGCTGGGAGCATGGTCACCAAATATGCCATGGGGATTGCCTTCTGGCAAAGCCTAATCCTTCTGCCTTACCCTCTGCCCCCCAAGGAGAGAAGATGGGGCTCTCGATCTTTGCCCTGCTGACTCTTACTGTGTTCCTACTGCTGCTGGCAGACAAAGTGCCCGAGACCTCCCTGTCTGTCCCCATCATTATCAAGTACCTCATGTTTACCATGATCCTCGTCACCTTCTCAGTCATCCTTAGCGTCGTTGTTCTCAACCTACACCATCGCTCACCTCACACCCACCAAATGCCCCTGTGGGTCCGTCAGGTAAGAAAATCTCTTCCTCTTGCTCTTAGTATTTGGCTTTTTGCCCAGTTATGACTTTTCCCTCCTACCACTTCAACCTTCCCTTTCACAGACCTGAGGGAGAACTACAACTGTTCATGGAG